AATATTACTTAAGTAGGTTTGCAATATTAATCGTCGTGCAGCATAATCATATGATATTTCAGTTACTTCCGGACGCTAGCTTTCGGATGAACTTTTTTCGGCCAACTGAAAAAATTGCACTCTATAAAAAAGTCTAGTCATGTAGTATGAATTTTGCTCATTGGTTTTCTATGCACTTGTAAATTCGAATATGTTTTATGGAAAACATGTACAACAATACTCATTTTGTAGAGAATTCGGTCTTTTTAATATTTTATACTTGCGATTTAAAAACGTTTCCAACTCCCAATTAATTTTAAACCCGACCTGCCGTTAAACTTGCATTCAGGGTTTCCTAACCACAAGCTAAATATCTTCCGTGTACAGAAAATCATGCATTTCTATACGCTATCAAGAGAAAGCCATTTTAAGCTCATAAAATGTAGCAGTGGATTTGGACCGCCATGTAAACTTTACAAGAGACATTAGTAAATGCGAGGACACGATGTTTTATGAACGGACATATTAGGGCCATTCATTAAAACCGAGATCTACCCCTTCTTTAAGTATAAACTTCGAAGGACACGTAATTTTCTGCCAAATGAGCAAAAGAATGGATATTTATGTGCATTATTTCTATGAAATATATTTTAATTGATAAGGACACCAAAAATCAAAAAGCCAAATTCACACTACGAAAGCAGCCTTTTTAAAGAGTGTAATTTTTGGAGGCCACCGGAAAGGAATTCATCCGAAATGTAAGCCCGACAAGAAGCAATGAATGCGTTTGGCTGGCGATAACGTCACTTGGTCAGATAGGCAGCAATAACTTCTCCTCTCTGCTGACAGGGGATTCAGTTAGACGATCTGAACGATTGGAACCAGAAACATGGATTCCCTGCTACTGCTCGATCCAGCAGTACACCTGCGTAAGTTGAATGGCACACTGGACGCTTGTGGGGCCTTAGGGCCGCGGTGCACCTTAGCAGGTGTGTGGTTGCGTACGCTTCTACAAGCCCGCCCAGCATATATATATATATACGCATGTCAAGTGGGCGTTTGACCCTCACTTCATAAGGCCTATGACGTACTGATGATCGGTAACGACCGTGAAACAGCTGTCTGCGTCTGGCCTGTTGCACTCTTAGCGAGCTGCTCATGTAATATATATTTATATATAAGACCTCGGAATGCACACCACATCAGTTATTCATATATATATATATATATATATATATATATATATGAGAAGAAGAGACGATCTCGGGAACCATAATTGTATTGTCCTGACGTTTCAAAATCAAACAAGATTTCATCGTCGGAGGTGAGTTTTGTACCACGCCTCACAGTATTTATAGGTGTTGATGGTCTCCTTTCAACGGGTTT